GGGGGGGCTGGGGGTTGGGGAGAGGAAGTTTCTGGAAAGGGGGTAGCTGGGCGGATGGAGGAGCAGCTGGATGAAAGTGTTGGTTGGTGGAGAGGTTGTGTGTGGGTGGGGGGCTGTGTGGGTACCCAGGTAGATGCTGGGTGAATGGTCTGGTGATGATGTCTGATCGGGTATGTCAGTCTGTCAATGGGACATGCCTGTGGGTTCACGGGTGATGCTGGGTGAATGGGCTGGGGAGCAGGAGGGCCTTGGGAAGCAACACTGAGCAGCAGGTAGGTGAGTGAGACTTCCTTGGCCCCTCTTTCAGCCTGCAGGCAGCAGAGCCCTCCCAGCCGGATGGGCGCCCTCCAGCCTCCAGCCTGGTCTGCTGGTACCTGCTTGGCCAGCTGCCGCCGCCTGTCCTCGCCAGCCTCATCTCGGCTCTGCAGGTCGCGCTCGTGCTGTGCCTTGAGAGCCTGCAGGGTCACTTCCAAGCGCAGCTTCGCGTCCTCGGCTGCCGTCAGCTCGTCCTCCAGCTCCGTCACCTGCACTCGAAGGTCGCTGGCTATCTGTTCTGCTGCCCTGCGGGATCGCTCCTGCTCATGTGCCTGGAGGGGATGGGAGGGTGAGCTCTGCGCACCGGGGCACAGGGAGGGGGAGGCCAGGATCCCAGATCTATCCTAGGACAGTGTGAGGGAGGCTTTGATGGTCAAGGTGATGTGCACATTCTGGTTTGCTCATTCATTCACCATTTCCCGGGCAGCTAGTTACTAGGTGTCTCATTCTGAATCATCCTAAAACATTTCATTAATAACCTCTGTGTGCAAGTTCTGTTATCCAAAGCCCTTGAGAGTCCAGTTCCAGTGTTTGTTAGGTCAGCTCTCACTCACGGTGGATTATTTCCTCGTGGGTTTTGAGATTTTGCATCGTGAGCTCACTTCACTAAGGGGCTTCAGGTTTGGGAACATCCTGTGTGGACATGGGTTGAAGGGATGTTGCCCCAGACTCGAGTGTTGATTTGTGCTGGACCCCCCAGGATAGCGCCATCCCACTATCTCCTGTGATTTTTTTCTCAGCCCTTCCAGGGAGTTGTAAATTAAAATCCCAACCACCCTGTGAAGGCAGATCTGGGTTTATGAATTCTGAGACACCCCCCTCCCCCATCACGCCTCTCCTTTAACTGTCACCGTCTCAGAAAAGTGTTCCTTGGTCTGTCGGGGCCTCTCTGTTACCCATGCCGCTGGCCCTGAGCCCCTCCCCAACCCAGCCTTAGTCACAATGGTCATTTAACATGAGCTTATGTGTCTTTTTGTGCAACGCCCACCCCCACACTGCACTGTGAATTCCACAGGGGCAGGGACCCTATCTACCTGTCAGTACTGCCCAAAGAACCTCATGGAAATTCTCATCAGGGACAGGGTCTACTTTCTGCCCGCAGAAGAGGCCAACAGGTTTCCCCTCCTATTTGGCACCTGCCATTCAGTTTTATTTGCTGGAAGGAATTCAGCTTTCTCCCATCAACATCCTATTCCCCACAAAGTAGGCCTCTGGAGTCACCATGTAGAACTTGGCCGTTTTCCCAAAGGAGAGACCTTAGTAGTCTGAGTATGAGCTGGATTTTGGCTCTAGAGTGCCTGGGGCTGCAGGCCAAGGTATGTCACGGGGCTTAGGGGTTCTCTCCAGGCTTGGCTAAAAGCTCCATCAGATATACACTGGAGCGTGTGGAGAAGATAAAGCCCTTATCCGTTGTACCCATGAGAGTATGTTGTTGGCAATAAGGAAGGACATCAGGAGTGTGTCTGCCCAGGGCCTCACTGAACCACGTCTTCTGTCAGTGCCTCCCCTCACCAGTCAGGGGGGCTGGTGTCCCTGGGCCTGTCCTTGCTGCTGCTCCATAAGTATATTTATTGGACAAACTAAGGAAGGATGGAGTGGAGGGTGTGATGGACCTTTCAGAAGGCTGGGATGCTGGCTGGGTGAGTAGGGACTGGGGACAGGCCTAGGGGACTCCTCCCTGGCCCTGGGGGGAACCTGTATGTGCTCAGTGGGGTTGGGGGTGGCAAGGTGGGATGTCCTCACCCTGGGTATGTGGTGTGTGTGAGGGGATGGATTTGTGTGTGGTGTGTGTGCGCTGTGTGTGAGGGGATGTATGTGTGTGTGGTGTGTGTGTGGTGTGTGTGAGGGGATATACGTGTGTGTGGTGTGTGTGGTGTGTGAAGGGATGTATGTGTGTGTGGTGTGTGTGAGGGGATATATTGTGTGTGGTATGTGTGTGGTGTGTGAGGGGATATATGTGTGTGTGGTGTGTGCGAGGGGATGTATGTGTGTGTGTGGTGTGTGTGGTGTGTGCGTGTGCACACAGTCATGTTTGGGGTGTGGTTCTTAGGCTGTATGTTGTGGTAAATTCTCTTCACGCGCTCTGACTATTCATACACACATGCAATGAGTGGTTCTCATGCTCTGTGTACATATGAATGGGTGTGTTCTCCAGAAGATTCTCCTCCTGTTCTGTGTATCTGTATGTGAACATGCGTGTTGATGAATGGCTTTCCTTACTTCCTGCATGTGTGAACACATGTGTTTGGTGGAAGATTCTCCTCACACTGTGTGTATGTTATGGGAGCACGTATGCCTGGTCAGCAGCTCTCCCCCCATTCTGTGCTGGGCATGAACATGTAACTTTGATGGCTGATGCTCTTCATGTTCCATGCATGAGAACGTGCACATGTGTATGTGCCGCCCAACGTCAAGGGTGCATGCAGTGGCCGGCATGTGTGTCTTGGGGAGTGGGGGCCCCTGCTCACGGTCTTGCCGGCATCATCCTTGCTGCTCAGCAGGGCTTCCATCTCTGCCCGCAGGGCCCGGTTCTGCCGCTCCAGCTCCTCACGTGCTTCCTGCTCCTCCTCCAGCGCCCGCGTCAGTGACAGGGCCCGAGCCTCGCGCTCCCGGCCCTCCGCCTCGACCCGCTCACGTTCCTCCACCGCCCGCAGTACAGCTGCCTTCTCCTCTGCCAGGAGCTTCCGGGTTGAGGGAGATGGGGTGGGGGAAACAGATTAGCTGAAAGGAGTGTACAAGTGGATGGGCAAGAGGGAGCAGCCAGGGACAGAGAGAGAGGGAGACAAAGGCAGAGACACAAGAGGGAGGTAGAGGGATTAAAGTTGCAACTGTGTCCCAGACCAGCCCAACTCCTGAGTGGATCAAACTGATGAGCCCCTCACTCTAGAAACCCAACAGAGGAAAGGTTATTTCTTCCTCCTGGGGTAGTGGTAAAAAAAACATGTACATAATTTTTAAAAATGTACTTCCACCTTTGCTGTTTTTTTTAAGACACAGAAATTAGCAATAATAAAACTTGCAAGACGTGCCGAAAGGGAAGAGAACAGGGCTCATGGTCAAGAGAAAAACCAGTCCATGGAAACAGACCAACAGATGACCTCCACACTGGGATCATCGCACAAGGACTTTAACGATGATTAGTAAACTTCAGGACCAGATGGATACAGTGGGTGAAGATCCAAGGTTATTGCAGGAGGGATTTGAAACTAAAACAGAACCAATTAGAGAGGCCAGGACTGAAAAGCATGATATCTGAAATCAAAAAGTCATTGGAGGAAACCGAGAGCAGACTTGACACATCAGAACCAGTAAACCTGAAAGCAGGTTGATAGACATGATCTAAATAGAGAGGGAAAAAAAAAAGGAAAAAAAAGACTGTAAAAAAATTAACAGAGCGAAAATAACCTGCAAGGCAGCATCAAGCAGTCAAACACACAGGTATTTGGAGTCCCACAGGAAAGGGGAAGAAAAAGGAAAGGAAGATGTGAAACTGTCTTCATTCATAGAAAACAGGGTCACTAATGTAGAAAATCCAATAAAATCTATAAAAAAAGTCTGCTAACAAATAAATTGTAGGATACAAGATCAATACTTAAAAACCGATTGTATTTCTATATACTGGCAATCAGAAACTGAAATAAAAACCAGAACCATTTAGTTTAAGTAATCCCTGTACCCAGTGCGGGGCTCGAACTCACAATCCCGGGATCAAGAGTCGCATGCTCTTCTGACTAAGCCAGCCAGACGCCAAAACCAGAACCACTTAAAACAGCATCGACAATATGAAATGGTTGGAAATAAATCTGATGAAAGATGTGAAAGATGTACACTGAAAAGTACACAAAGGGGGCGCCCTGGGTGGCTCGGTCGGTTAAGGGTCTGCCTTCAGCTCAGGGCATGATCCCAGGGTCCTGGGATCCAGCCCCGAGTTGGGTTCCCTGCTTAGCGGGGAGCCTGCTTCTCCCTCTCCCTCTGCCTGCCGCTCCCCCTGCTTGTGCTCTCTCCCCCTCTCTCTCTGTCAAATAAATAAATAAATAATTTTTAAAAAGTACAAAAAATAAAGGAGATCTAAATAAATGGGCACATGTACCACGTCCCTAGGCAAGAAAACTCAGTATTATTAGGATATCAGTTCTTCCCAGATTAATCTGTAGATTCAACACACTCCCAAATCAAGAGGATTTTCTTTCTGTGTGTGGAAACTGACA